ATTTTTCAATCAATAGAAATTAAATAAAATAATTTCATTCATAATATAGTGCTTACTAACATTATGCACGCCTTCTCATGTTTTCCAAAAATCCTTTGAAAGCTTCTTCAAGGCAAAATCTTTCCAAAACATTTCAGAGTTTTCTCTTCAAGCCAAAGTTTGAACTAATACAACGAAAGTTTCATTAGGGTGGGGTGTGTTATCCTAGGTAGTACTTCATAGGCCCCACCCACATGCAATGGTGGGCCTATTAACATATTGGGCTCCCATGCAATATTAAATTATTAAAATTAATTATATAATTTTTAGAAATCTATAAAATCAAATTTGAATATTTAAATCAATCTAAAATCAATATCTCTGTTTTTATAAATCTAAATTTGATAAATAAAATATCCAGGTATCTAAAAAAATTCAAATAATAATTATAAAATCATATATCATTAAAACAAACATAATTGACTTTATTAGATGGATAAATGATCCACATGGTCTAAGAATTAAATAAATAAATGTTGGGGCACTCTACCTTTAACTATGGACTACGATCTATGCTTGCTTTACCAAACCGACCCAATGTTTCGCATGACCCACGGTCCTTGCAAGGGCTCATTAGTGGGTTACCAAAGTCTGGTCGATGAGCCAATGGGTCGTAATCTTAGTTTGTGGATTTCAGGTTCTCCTCTAGATACGTACCAATGTCACCTAGACCTGATGCAACGATAGCTCCTATGGCGCATTAGGGTATCTCTCGCACATGCATAAGTTTCACCTTAAATGGTCGTTTGGATATCTATGAAATATATTACTGGCGTAATACATTAGATGCAACCTAGGAAGAAGAAATATGGGAAATTCATTACCAACATTTTACCAGCACTTGCCTATAAAATATCATTTTTTTATTTTATTTTTTTTCACAAAATTCTACTGAAATACGGAATTAAAGTCATCATCACATCATTCCAAAAAGATTTTCTAATAATACCATCACCATTCCAAAAAGATTTTCTAATAATAACTTTTACCATTCTAAAGTCAATCATCACACAATTTCTTACTTATTTTGCATGCCTTTGGCACTTACATGGAATCACATGTCTTCTAACATGATTAGACTTTAGTTTCAACATGATTAGTCATTGGAATAACATGTTTTTATTGTGATAAGTCTTATTTTTATTTATTTTTTATAGAAGTCTTTCAAATGTCTATCTATATAATTTCAAATAAGCAATAGATTTATGATACGAAATTTAAAATCTTTATGGTACAAGTTAAAAAATGAGAATAAGTTTGATTCGTAAACTAGAAGGTTTGGTAGTTGCAGTGAAAAGTTTTACGGTATTGAAAGAAACTAAACAGATATCTTATTTCAATTGAGCTTTTACTAATTTCTTATGAGGATTATATTGGGTGAAATTTTTTATTATAATTGTGTTGTGTAAGTATTTATATTGGGTGAAATTTTTATTATAATTGTGCTGTGTAATTTCTCATTGATTAAATATGCTAAGGAGAGAGGGAGAATGGAAAAAGTCCAGATGAGAGACTAAAGGGCTTAAAAAAAAATTACAAATGAGACGAAGGGGCTTAAAGATAAATGTGCTTAAAAAAAGAAAAGAAAAAGCACAGATGAGAAGAAGGTGCTTAAAGAGAGAGGGAGCACCTTATGCAAAGTACATATGAGAAGAAGCGCGTAATATATTTTTCATGAGCGTGATGTGTTTCATGATTTTTGGAAAATCTTAGCGTTTCATGATTTTTGGGGAAATCTCTTGTAATCTCTTTCCATTTCCTTACTATATAAAGTGTAAATTTTCTTACTATATAAATTGTACCCAAACGGTGGAAATATCATATCTTCTCGTAATGAATTGTCATCTAATAGATTTTCAATTACTCAAATGGGCCTAAAACGTTATTCGCAATTGTCATCTAATAGATTTTCAGTTACCCAAATGGCCCTAAAATGTTGTTCACTTTTTGAAAATGGCTATCATTATGTATGTCATGAGATAGCTCGGATGAGGCTTTAGCCCCCCGTTTATGAAAGCCATAATTCAACAAAATGGTCACACAGTCCATTGGCTCACTCAGCCGGGCATACTCCAACTTCATAAATGGATGACCTATTAGAATAATTATCATAGAGTTTTCTATGCCCATGTAACATAGGTTATTCCCAACCAATTGACCTAGCTTGTCAAGCTCAGTCCGATATTAGTAAACATCATTTGCTTAGTATGGTCCACAAGGGACCACAGTCCCATTGAGTTCATGTTCCACTATATTGTTTCATTTTACAAGCACTCATTAGGCCTTTAATAGCCACATTCACCCAACAATGGGACCATATCGTTGAAGAGGAAAAGCAAGTAAAAAAAAATACACGCTTATCCCGCTCTCTCTCGCTATGTAGGTTTCAATTGTTGGTTGTTTAGTAGTTCTTCTTGTATGTCTCTTGTTATGAGGGAAAAGTTTATCTATGGGTGAGACCCTTAACAATCAAATTAAGGTACACCTCAAAAAATCATTAGAAGATGTTGTTTCAATACTTAATAACCTTCGTTCGATCATCTCGACCTCAAGATGTATCGACATGAGAAAAAGTGTATTTCAAGTCTTGAAAATAGTGCATCTTGTAATGTATTATTTAGACTGTCTATTTTTAAAATTTTCAAGTGTTCGTAGAAGTGCTCATTTTGTGCTATTTTTAAATATTTAAAATTTATAACCAGAGATGAAAATAAATTTCCACGCCATTGTAAATATTTTTTGTACTAAAACAACATATTGTGGCACTATTTTAAGGCGCACCGTACTTTGATTGTTTAGAGACTCAGGGTTATGTTAACATCACCAGAGGTGCTTTGCGTTAACTGTGAATAGGTTATTTTTGTAATCCTTCTCCTTAAAAGCAATCGAATATTTTTCTTTACATGTATCTAAGTGGAGGAGAAACATATTGCAGACATCCGTTCTTGACGATTGATGAAATAAGTTGAAATATAAATATTAGAAAAGATAGATTTATCATATAATTTCCAGAAAGTTGGGGATCTCTCCCATTTTCTCTTCAAACTAAATTCTCCTTCAAAATAAACCAAAAACAAAAACACATTTAAAAAAAGGATGAAGTTTTTATAGGGCCTAATATGAAAACAAAATAAAGCATTACCTCAAATCCTTGTCCGGAAAGCGCTTTCGATAACAAAAATATCTATGATGGCTCTAAAATCAATTTCCAACATGAACAATAAAAATTGAAACTAAAAAAATGTACAGATTTTGCAGATCTATGAACACTTATTTTTTGGGCAAAATAGATGTTCTAAATAATTTGTTATGATATACAATATTTTTTAGAGCTTAAAATCCTATTTTGTTTTCACAACTATAATGTTCAAGGCTGCTTGATCGATGCCATATGCTTGAATTGTAATTTTGGATGAGTTATACGGTGAGGCTTTATTTATTTTGATAGTGTTGTAGTCCTATGGAACCATTTTTTTAAGTTACAAAGGGAGGCTTTACTTATTTTGTTAGGGCTACAACTGTATCAAAATATGTAAAGCCTTGCCTAACAACTCATTGATAATTACTATTCAAGCATTGGAAAGCCTTTACATTGATCATCTAGGCTTGAACATTATGATTGTAGACAAAAATTAGGATTTCAAACTCTAAAAATAATGTATATTGTAATAAATTATCTAGACCGTCCATTTCACCTTAAAAAGAAGTGTTCATAGATCCATAAAAACTATACATTTTTTAAGTTTTAAATTATCTAGACTGTCCATTTCACCCTAAAAATAAGTGTCCATAGATCCGTAAAAACTATACATTTTTAAGTTTTAAATTATCTAGACCGCCCATTCGCGTGAAGCTTTATTTTGATTTCAGAAGCCTAGGCCTTATAAAAACTTAATCCTTTTCTAAAAAGGACAGAAATATTCTATTGACAAACAAACACAACACTAGTAGAACTAATCTTTTAACAGGGTGTAGTGGCAATAGGAATTGAAAAAGTTTGTACCATTGTTGAGCTTTGTGGTCTACCTCTTGCTCTGAGGTTGCCCGACCTTTTCCTCTCGTGTGTTTGTTTGCAGGAACATTTGACTTCAGAAAAGTACCTGTTTCTATATGGCTAAGCTCACATAGGTAGAAATATGGGCCCGTTAATAAATACATTTTTGAGATGGATTTTAAGATTTAATTTTTAAAGATATATAATGTCTACCATGGAGATCATGAATATAAAAACAAATAAATTTTAAAAATTAAAAATAATAATTCTAATAAAAAAACATTTGGACCGTTAGTTTCTATTATTTTTAGATGGAGCACCTATTTGCATGCATCAATTAAGATGGGTACTTTACACTTTTTGAACCACAAATATAGAAATACGGTCCAGTTTGGAGCAATTTTTTTAAATAAAAAGAAGAAAAAGATGGGATTAGCCCACTAACTCATATGAACATATGAGCCCAACGTCTCATAATGATTCTAGGCCGATCTGACGGTCACAAATGTCCAGTATTGTTTGAATTTTAGTTTTTTTTCTACAAATCCAAATCCCTTGAAAGTTTATACGTGTATTCATAAAAAATAGGTGAATATTCGAAAAATATCAAATAAATATTTTACATGAAATAATTTGACCAAAATACCCTCGAAAAGTTTTGGGGGTATTTTGGTTATTTTATTTTTTAAAGATAATTTTTATTAGATGCACTTTGATGAGAAGAATACACATCTAAAATTTCAAGTGATTTAAATCTATAGAAAAAAATTAAAATTCAAATACTATAAAATATTTATGATCGTTAAATCGATTAAGATTCAATCTGAACCGTGGACTCCTATGTTCATATCAACCATTGGCCAAATCCCATTTTGTCCACAAATAAAAACAAAAAAACAAAACAAAAAACAATGTGCCAAATAGCACTTTCTTGTTGGGCTATACATAAAACTGGTTCATAATTAAAAACAACAAATTTCCCTCTTCGATAAAGTTCAAGTTCCAGGGACCTACAACTTATGTACTCTTCAAACTCTCTCTCAGTCTCTCGTCTGCCTCCCAGCAGCCCGAGCTGCCCTTCTTCCTCCTTCCTGCTCACGCAGGCCCTAGCCACCCCAGCTTCCGTTCTTCCCCTGCTTGCGCCAAGCATAACCAGGCATGCCTCTCTCTTATCTGGTGATTTATTTGCTTTCTCCCTCTGCTCTCTCTCTATATCTCCTCTATTAAAACAAAAAAAAAAGAAGCAAAATGAACGGGCATTAGGGTTTCATTTACGCCTTACATTACTGGTGCTCTAGGGTTTGGATTCCTTTTGGCTTGATTTTTTGCAGAAAGAAAAGAGAAACTCAAAAGCTTTGTTTCTCCCCCACAGTCTCTTAAGCGCTCATTGGAGTGTGGTCTTTACACGGCAGCATCTGGTATAAGGGGCCAGGCCAAACCCAAAAAGCTAAAACCAAACACAAAATCAAAACCCTCCCTACACCCTCTCTCTCTCTCTTTATCTCTCGCATATCTTCTTTCTCTCTCTAAAACTGTGTGGGACTCTTTATTTGCAGAGTAGCAGAGCTGCTGCCATTGCCTCGAGAAACCCCGCTGTCTCACAGTTCACATAATTTCGGAATCCCAATATAAGGTAAGCAACAAAATAACAATTGGGTGATTTTTTGCTTCTTATCTCCAAATCCAAGTCCTAATAACAACCCGAGATCTCGTTTTTATGCCTGTATTTAATTCCTCTGGTTGTATATGCAATGTGTCGGTAAGACCCACAAATTTGTTTCTCCCCCTAGGGCTTCATGTCTCTTGTATCTCCTCACCATGCAGCTGTCACCATTTTCACTCTCTCTTTAATGCATAACTTCTATCTCTTGATCACGCAACAACTGGTTGTATGTGCGTCAGTGAATTAATTGCAGGGTGTGGCTTTTTGCAGTTTGAAAACCACCCAGAGTCTCCATGTTTCCATTCTCCTGCAAAAATGGGTTCTCTACTCTCTCTGTCTTTCCTGCATTGGGCGAGCCCTGATCTTCAAAGAAAGGCACGAGGATTCGATTTCCACTCATAGAACTGGAATCCCATGTGAAACGCTGATAGGTAATTCATTTTGGTTATTACTCTTTTGTTGCATTTACGTGTTGTTTGTTCAAATTGCGACTCTTCTTTATGAGTTCCTGAGAGAGAAACACGCCATGTCCCTTTACTTACTCCCCTTGGTGCAAATTCTCTCATGATCCGTTATGAGCCTCTGCATTTTGCATTCAAAGTACAAGGCCTTGGAGAAACACCCACTTTTTCTTCGCTTATGGTGGTTTGTTTCCTTTGTTATTTGCCTATGCACCATATACTTTGATGGTAGGGGCCTAATCAATGGGTGACTGAACTTCAATGCCCATGTTGTTTCTAACTTTGCTTGTACATCTGCCATTGCTTTTGTGTTTTGTCGCGATTCATGGTGATACTGGTATACGAGTAGTGATATAGATTTTGACCTCCAAGAACCATTGCTTAGTGAGGAGTTAGGTTGCCAAAAAGTGATTCCTTATGGCGATGCCAGTCTATTTTACTTGGCCACTCTCTTGGTTAAACCCACTTTTATCTATTGGTGCAAAGAGGCCTCTAGAACTCACGAATGTTCCCCTCTTAGCTCCTAAAGACCAGTCCAAAACCTCATACAAAATATTTAACTCTTAACTGGGAGAAGTTCAAGTCTGAAAGTCCATTGAAAAAACCATCTTTAGCATCAGCTATTTTTACGTCTTTTTGGAAGGCGGCAGCTTGGAATGCCATCTTGCTAGCCTTAACACACTCGTTACTTTTGTTGGTTCCTATCTTATAAGCTACTTTGTGGAGTATTTGGGAGGGAACATCACTTTCCCTCTTGAAGGTTACATCCTAGTGTCAATATTCTTCACGGCAAAGCTTGTGGAGACCATAACCACTAGGCAATGGTTTTTGGGGGTTGATATCTTAGGAATGAATATCAGTGCGGCTTTGACTGCCATGGTTTATCCAAAAGGGCTTCGTCTCTCTAGCACAGCCAGACAGAGCCACACTGGTGGAGAAATTGTCAATTGTATGGCAGTTGATGTTCAAAGGATTCGATATTATTCATGGTACCTTCACGATATATGGATGTTACCTCTACAGATAGTCTTAGGCTCTTAGCATTGGCAATTCTCTATAAAAATGTGGGTATAGCCTCACATTCAACTCTTGGGGCCACAATTGTTTCTATTCTTGTTACGATTCCTCTCGCAAAAGTGCAAGAGGATTACCAAGATAAGTTGATGTCAGCTAAGGATGGTAGAATGAGGAAAAGATTTGAGTGCCTAAGGAACATAAGGATTTTGAAGTTGCAAGCATGGTAGGATTGGCATCATTGTCTATATCGACATTGTTTCCTCATAATAATGCATGTTTATGTTTTTAATTTTGACTTGTACCTTCCATTGTGTCCTTTTGAGTGAGTTCTTAGCTGTTGAGTAAATTTTTTGGATTTCGATTTTGTTTACTTGCAAAGGGAGCAGTCTTTGCGCCTCTGGTTTTGGAGGATGTCAATATATCCTCAGCTGATGCCATAACTAGCCTCTTTTCCCAATTTGAATATCTACTATTTCTCCCTAAAAATTGCTCCATTACACTTTATTTGATAGTTGATTGGGGATTCATTTCATTGGGACCTCTTCAAATTGCTATCCTATAGCTCCCTTTGGAGCCTAGTCCAAGTTGATTAATGGTTCATGACGATGTTTGAGCAAGGAGTATTTCAAATACTCAGTTACCCAAAACTTCCTCAACATTCCAGCTGGGAATCAAACACAGGCACCCAAAACTTTCTTAACATTGCAGTAAGTTTTCAAAAATAGGTGCCCAGAACTTCCTTAACTTCCAGGAAGATAACATTCCACTTCCCATGAAGAACTCCTTTCCAGGGAACATTTATCTTCCAACAAACAAACACACCCTTAGGGTGCATTTCATAAATAAAATAAGGGAAAGTCTCAGGCTTTACCTTGTACTGTAGGTTTTGTAAGTTTGGGGAGTAAAGTCAGAACTCACTTTTTCCTGCCTGCCTACCTTCTCTCTCTTGTTTCAGGTCTAGAAACACCTTTCTCTATTTCTTCTAATTATTTTCTTCAAAACCTTTTCATTCAATAACATTGTTCAAAAAAATAGACCGCCCAGTGCCTAGGCGGCCAAACTGGCCGGTGGTCCCTAGGCGGTCGCATAGGTGGTACGGAACCCGCCTAGGCGGCAGCCCTGCGTGCAGCCCTAGGCGGTCGCCCAGCGCCCAGCCCTAGGCCAAAGGCGGAAAAATACTTTTTTGTTTTTTGTTTTTTTCAAGATATAAAAGTTTAGAAGGATGGGTTTTAGGTTCATTTGAAACCTAAACCCACAAGAACCCCTTTTAGAGAGAAAGAAACCTAAAAAAACTACATTTCATTGGATCGAATCATTGAAGTGTTTCTCGAAGTTTGGAGTTCGAGCAACCAAAGTAAGTGCATTTTTTAGATTGCTTGTTTTATTTTGAGATGTCTTCTTCTGGAGTTAGTCGGAGTGGAGATCTAGGTTGGAAATATGGATACAACCCGAATCCAAATGAAAAAAATAGTGTTACATGCAATTTTTGTGAAAAAGATACAAAAGGAGGCATAAACCGGTTTAAGAAACATCTTGCTGGTATTAAGGGGGATGTTGCCCCTTGTAAAAATGTTTCTAAAGCTATCAGAGAGGAGATTAAGCAATTTATAAGTTATGTACAACAAAAACAAGAACAAAATCCTTGTCATAAATCTATTTCTATTTCTGCTATTTCTAGAAGAAGTGATCCGGGTTGGAAGTATGGGTACAAACCAAAACCAAATGATAAAAATTGTATAAAGTGGAATTTTTGTAAAAAAGATACCAATGGGGGTATTTGCCGATTCAAAAAACACTGCTGGTGTTAGAGGTAATGTTACTTCTTGTACAAAGGTTCCCGAAGCAGTTCGGGATGAGATTAGACATATTCTGAATTTTGAAGAACCAGAAAAGAATGAAAATAAGCCTTGTTCTACGGAAGTATCTTCTCCAGGTTCTAGTCGAAACGGTGATCCGGGTCGGAAGTATGGTTATAATTCGAATCCAAGTGATAAAAATCGTATTACATGTAATTATTGTGGAAAGGATACTCATGGGGGCATTTACCGGTTTAAAAAACATCTTGTCGGTATTAAGGGGGGATGTTGCCCCGTGTAAAAATGTTCTTGAGGCTTCCAAGGAGGAAATTATATAATATTTGAGTTCAAAGAAGCACAAAGAAAAGGGTAGAGCAACCAAGACTCCTAGGACCTCATCTGCACGTACTAGTAAGAGGAAGGTAGAAGAAGAAGAGGAGGAAGCGATAAATTCAGAAGAAACAGAGGAGGACGAGCGTTATATTGAAGAGGGAGATGACTCTAATGATGATGGCCTCGACTTTGATGCATATGATGAGGTTTGCCCTATTGACATTCCCTTTGATGATGATGATGATGATGATGATGACGACTACTGAAGACTCTTGCCTCTTGGTGTTGAGTGTTGAGTCTGTTGACTGTTGTGTTAAGTAATGAGTATTGACTTTTGTTAGACTGTATATTTTCTAAATTTCTGTATATTTCTGTTGTGTCGAGTGTTGACTTTTATAACCTACACTTGTATGGTTTTACAATTTACTGTTTTAACAATATGGATTATCAAAATTCTCTTCTCGACGTCTATCATTTTTTTTTTTCAACTTGGAATATGGTATATTGGTAATTTGGTATGTGTTGTACTTTTTTTCAACTGGGTCCGCCTAGCACTTTTTGATACACTGTTCAATAATACAAAGTATTGTTGATATTAGCGCAAATTTTTCTCTGGATATGTTTTCTCTGAAATTGGGTTTACTTTCTCTGAGTGTTTAAATGAATGTTTTTATTGAGACCAATTATATAATATCTCTCTTCATTCCTTTTGTCATAAGAAAATTTGTTTGTTAAGGATGGAACAGTTAATGGAAAAAGGGTGGCTTGTTACAATTCATTTCATATGGGACTCACAATTTGGGAGTATTCATCTAACAGTAAGATAAAATTATTTCTATTGTCAGTCATTATCAATTTGGGTTTTGTATGATCAGTCGGCGATGCAGATAAGAATATTAAAATGCGATTAAGCCACGTACTTTCTCTATTATTATGGACTGGTTCAGATGAACCCATTAGTGTTCATTGTGTCCACCAATTTCGTGCTAGATACATCATTAATGGCCTCCACCAAAACTCAGGTATAGCTTGTGAGCTTTTTGCATTTGGATTTTTTTTTTTTTTTTAAACTTTTCCATTTGTTCTTAAATGTACCCAGATGAGTTTACGTGTCCATTTGTGCTTAAATCTTGCTCCTTTGTATGAGCATTTCAGTATGGTGAGAAAATTCACTCTGATATTGTTAAATTAACCTACGAGTCCTTTGTTTTTGTAAGCTATGCACTTCTTCATTTACATTGTACAACTGGAGTGGTTGTGATTGCAAGGAATTTGTTTGATGAAATGCCCAAGAGAAAGTTGGTATGATGATCGAGGTTGCAATTTGTGTGGAGATGCTAATGGTACTTTTCTTCTTTGAGAGAGAGAGAGAGAGAGAGAGAGAGAGAGAGAGAGTAGTAGTACGTACTAACTCGTTACGTTACTAGTGGTACGTAGTTGTCGCTAGTCGTCGTTCGTACGTACGTCGTTAGGTAGGTAAGGTAACTACGACGTA